GAAAAGAAAGATAAATAATAAAGAAATATGATGTATTTAATATATAATATAATTTATTATCAAATGTAATAATATCAAATGATGATTTATTTTTATTTCAAAATATTTTGCATCATTAAATTTTGCATCATTAAATTTTGCGCTTTTTTTATTTGTTTCAATAAAATTTGCATCCTTTATTTTTTTCATTCTTTTCTTCTTTTATCATCTCTTTTGTTTTATTACACTTTATCTTCTTTCTTTTTATATTCTCTCCTTTCTACTTTTATTCTTTCTTCATCTTCATCTACTTTTTACTTTCTTTTTATTCTTTTATATCATTCATTCTCTTCTTTTTCAATTATTTGCTTTTTTTCGTTGCCGAAAATAACAACATAATGAAATACAATGAATAATAACATGAAAAATAAACAATATAATATAAAACAACAGAATAATAAAATAATGTAAGAATACTATTAATGAAATAAAATTGGAACGAAATGAAAGAATAAGATATAAAATAAAAAATAAATAAAGAAAATAATATAATAAGAATGAAATAAAATAGAAAGTTAAATAAAGAATAGAATGATACATTACAATTAAATTTTAATGTATAATACAGAAAAATAATAATAAACAAATATATGAGTAATATGGAATTAATTAATATTATTTCATTTGTATTTTATGTTAATTATTTTTGTTCTTTTATTCTTTGTTTTATTTTATTTTGATTTGTTTTTCATCTTATTTTTGATAATAATGAATCAAATCATTAAAATGAATAATTAATATGTTAAAGTGAATGAAATGGAATTATGAATAAATTATTATTTTACAATATTCAATCATTTGAATCATTTCAAACACGAATTAATTCATTTATCTAATCATTGAATATGAAAAGAAACAAAAGAATAAAAAGATAGAAGCGACATTAAGAAAGAAATAAAAAGAAATGATAAATAAATGAATATAAATAAGAATTTAATAATAAATAATAGATTTAATAAAATTAGATAAATAAAATAAATATTAATAAAATTATCATTTAATCATCGATCATTGGAGATTAATCATATTATACATCATTAAAATCAATAATTTATTTGTTTTATTTATTATTTATGTTTTCTTCTTGTTTTGTGAATAAAACATTTTATTTTATTTCTTTATATTATTGTTTTTTTCTTTCTTCTTTCTGTTTATTTCTTCTTTTTATCTTCTGCTTTGACGTTTGCTTCAATTTTAATGAACTTCATTTTTCTTTATTGCTTATTTTTGAATGAATGAATATTTCATTATCATTATATTATTATGTATAACTTCATTTATTATTAATATCATCATTTATATCTTTTTCTTTTGTTATTATTCTTTCATATTATCTTATTTCATTCTTTGTATTATTAATTAATATGTTTCTTATTCAAATACTTCATCATAATCAAATAATAACTAATAATTCATTATTTGATTTTGTATTAATGTTTATGACGTGTCAATCTCTAATCTGAACTACTAATTTTTGAATAAAAAAATCGAAATGAGTAAAGAAGATGGAATAAAATTTGTTGAAGGAGTAAATGACACAACCAAATCAACAGTTTGTCAAGGTGAAGAGATTAACAAATTAGAGGGGTGGACAAAAAGAAAAGTTGGAGATGTTATATTTGATTCAGATATTGATGATTGGAATAAAAACACATCAACCTTTGACCAGAAAATAATAAACAAAGAACATCTAATAATTATTATTGAAATTGAAGAAGGAAACAAACTTGGTGGATATATTAATGAAAGAATTGAGAAAATTGGTAGTTATATAAATGACCCAACATCATTTATATTTTTATTAAACCCTAATGAAATGAAGAAATTTAGTATTTCCCATTCACCTCACACATTTTATTTAGCTAGTCAGTCAGATGATAGATTATTTTCAATTGGAAATGGTCTTTCCATTTATAAAGGAAACAACAAAAGTATGTCACATTATGCTAAGTCATCATTTAGAGAAGATTCTTTACCAAATGCTGTATGCATAAAACCACGTCTAACATATTTTACACCACAACGAATTGTTGTTGTTCAAATGATTTAATTTTCGTTAAAGTTCCTTATCTATCTGAATGAGAAAGTAACTCATTTGATTTTTTGTTATTTATTACTTTTTTTTATTTTTTTGGGAGATCGAAGATGGCATATCTGAAACATCACATAAACTTTAATACAATTCAAGCATCGACACTCCCAGTTATTATCTGGCTATGACGGTGTATTTGAATTAGAAATGTATTAGGTAAAACTGCAAAGGGTGTAGCAAGATATTATGATAGAATATTACATGGTGTAATATAAGGAACTACTAAAGTGTGGGTAAGACTAAAAGAAAATTAAACATAATAATATGATGGGAATGAAATACTCTCTTCTCTCATTCATAAAATTAAGAAAAAAGGAAAAAGAAAATGTTTAAAATTAAGGCAGAAAATAAACAAAAGGTTAAAAAGAAGAATTAAGCAGAAGAAGGATGAGAAGAAATTAATAGGAAAAAATGAAGCAAAGAAGTGATTTTCTCAATTTGCAAGAAAAACATAAATGATAAGTTAAACAAAAAGATTACTCTTTTTAAAAAACAAATAACTCAGGGAAGTGATTAATCTCCACTAAACTAGGAAGAATATATGAAAAATTTATTAACACTTAATTAAGTAATTTTTATTTTCTTAAAACTCCTTTTATTTCCTATCTTGTTTTTCTTTATATTATTCATTAATTATCCCAAGACTTTTTATAAATATTTTCATTTTTTTGTTCTCTCTTGTCATATCATGTGTTTAGTTATTCTTTTAATATTTTATTAATATCATTGTTTAATATATAATTTCAATGTGTATTATTTATGATGTTATTCTATTGTTATTTACTACTTTGTTTTTATGTTGAATAAAATATGATAAATAAATATAAATCATCAATATTATATCAAATTGATACAAATACACATTATAAATAAATGAAAATACAATATTATTATTCACTGTATTTTATCAAATTATCATTGTTTCATTTCAAATTTATTATCATAATATTATAATTTTAGTTGATTAAGAGTATTATTTATTACTAAAATAAAGAATAAAATTAAATATATATTAATTCTTCATTATTATTCATCATTTCTCTTGCGAATGAATGTTTAATTTATTGTATTATAAGAAAATAATAAGAATAATAATAAGAAAATCAATAATATTAGAAGTATTAATTAATTTGATATTGATATAATTGATGGAATACTTACATTTATTTATTCTTTTCAAATTTATCATCTTTAAAATGATATATAAATAGAATATTAAACACTATTATAAAAGTGTTTATTTTTATTGGTTTTGTTTATTTCAATTTGTTTATTGAATATTTTGATTAATTGAGTTATTCTATTCAGTATTTTATTTATTCTTTAACTGACTGAATATTTATATTCATAAAATTATCTAAATATACATCCTTTTGCTAATTATTCTTTTTATTAGGTATTTCATTATTTACTGTGTTTGTATGATATATAAAAGCTATTATTTAAATTGGTGCTAAAGAATATCAACAAATATTAAATTTATATTATCTATATTATTTCTTCTTAAAACAATAAATGATTCTTTCAATTTTTATCTTTTTGAAATGAAGTCAATTAAAATTATTTATTTTGTTTTTTGTAATCCAATTTGAATTAACTTCATTTTCTCTCTCATTCCTTCATCTAACATTTTCAATAGATCATTCACAATATCAGGAATTTTAACATTTTGTTTTTGATAATAGTTCTGAACACGCACGATGTGTTTGAAAAATATTTTAACTAAATGTTGATGGTTTTTCCATTGTTTAATGATATCAATGAATTGTGAAATTAATTCAATTTCATTAATGTCATAGTCTTTCATCAAACAAACACAAATTCTAACAATATGTTCATTCTTACTTTGTTTTGTAACTCTTATAATCATATTTCCAATTTCATTTTTTTTAATTTTCTTAGTCCATTCTTTTTTTCTTGAAATTCCCCGTAACAAGTACATCCCAATTTTTTCTTGTTCTATTTCTACTTTTTCACTGAGACAAATTGCTATTTTGTATAATCTTTCAATTTCATGACCATACTGAACAATTGGTAACAAAATTCCATATGTCTGTGTATTTTGTGCTGTTTCAATAATCTTTTTAATTGTTTTGTCTTCTATTGTATTTTCATTATATCCAAGTGCCAAATAAATAATCCCTACACATCGTTTGTTAATCTCTTTATCAACACTTCTTTCAATTATTCCAAGTGTTGCTTCAATTCCTCCATTCTTTACAAATACCTTACTATTTTGTTGTGACGCTAAAACCATAAAAAGTTTTGTAAGTTCGTTGTAGAGACTTATATCATTTGACAAATCAATAAAACAGACAACATCATCTTGTTGTGCTGGTGTTGATAATAAAAGATTAGAATATGCCATAATAACATGTTTTGAAAGCCATGGTTCTTTAGTATACTTTAAAATCTTTGGAATGATTTGATTTGCTTCAGGAAATGTAAATTTAGAAAATATAGAAAGAAGCATTGACCTGCATTGAATATCATTGAATTTATCAATTGTGTTAATCAATTCTAAACGAAGATCTTGTGAAAGTGTAGTTGGTTCATTATTATGAATGATATTGTATAATAAAAAGAGAAATTTTGGATCATCTGTGCTTAAATTGTTAATGATAAATTGCTCAACCCGTCTAATATCAATTCTAACATTTACCAATAACCGTGCAAGAGATTCAGTGAGGAATGGAACTGATGAATAAGTGAGAAAGGTTGTAATATATTCATCATTGATAGGAACAAATTGTGATAATACTGTTAATGCATTTTCAATTGCTTGTATCATAACAATCTTCTTTTTATATGTTGTTGTCATTTCATCTGGATTTTGAGTGGATGTTGATAATGTAATATCAAGACTTAATGAATCTAACAGAAAACGAGAGGTTGTTGTATTAATAAATTGATTAATTTTATTGAATGTTGTTGTTTGAAATTGTTGAAACGCAAGGAGGTTAGTTAAAATTCTAATCACAAATAACATAACCCTCTCACTTTGTTTTAAAGATGTAATAACAAGAACCATTTTATTAACAATGTCTTCTTTGATTGGTGTTGGATTAATAGTCATTGAATGAAGTGCCCCAAGTGAATTGATGATTAAACTATCATCAGATGATAATGGGTCAATGATATTAGTGATGGTTTTAATAATTTGATTAATGTCATCATTATCTGATATTTCATCTGATAAATTCCACAGTAACAAACTTGACAATGATTTAATTAATATTGAATCTGTGGAAGTACAAAGTTCACAGAGAGTTTGAAGAATACCACATGACACCATTCTTTGTTGTGCGTACTGACAATTCTCTGCAATACAATTGAGTAGTTGTAAGATATTTTCATCACCACAACCAACTAATTGTTTTATTAAACATTCAATTATCCCATTTTCAATCATTTTGGTTTTGGCTTCATAACTCTTATCAGACTTTTCAATTGTGTTTTGGATTAACTTGATTGCTTTTGTTGAGTTTGATTGTTGTTTAATCATCTCAACAAGAATCTCACAATGGTCAGACATGAATAAAGTATTGTTTATTTCACCATTTTATTATCATTTCATCACTTTCTTATTTCTAACTTATCATATCTGAAATGTACTGAAACTAATCAAATAATCATCAAATGATATAACTTTCTTCATTTATTTGATGACGTATGTTATTGGTTTATCTCATTTATGATTTTTATTTCTTATTTCTTTTTTAAATTTATTCATTCTTTAACTCCTCAGCCTATTAACTAGTACAAAGTGATAATTAAATCTTTTTTTTCTATCTTCATACTTCCTTCAACTACTAATACTTCATTACTTTAAATCACTACACTATTATTTCTAATTGGTGTTAAAGTAATAAGACTTTTATCATTCATTTCATTAACATTAATGGGTTTATACCTTAATTATTTGATAATCATTCTTTTTTTCATTCTGCGGTTGTATTGATATTATTCTACTTATGTTATTACTCAACCATTTAATATCCATTTTTTGTTGTGTTTAAATAACTATTTTAAACAATAATAAAATTATGACGGTTGTTGTGGTTATTTCTATTGCAGCGTCATTATTTGTAGCTTTAATATTTATTAAAATAATTGAACGTCTTTGAAACCTTAAGTTAAGTTATGAATATAAACCTCTGTTTAATAGTGGTGTATCAAAAAGCACATTAAGGCATTTCCGTTAGTTTCAAATTAATATTATTAATGACCATTTAAGTAGAACCATTGTTGATTTAGAAAAAAACAATCCTTTTATTGAAAAAAGTTTTTAAGAAGATTGTTAGAAGCTTTAACAAACATCAGTTAGTTCATTTCACATTCGTTAAACTATCTTTTCATAAATTAAACTAAAGAATAAATTATTTACTTTCATCAGATGATTCCCATTGGGTAGACACTGAATCTGCATCATCCTCTTTTGTGCTTGTAACAAATTTGGTAAATGGATAAAGACTATCCATATCTACGATGTACCTTGGTTTAGTTTTTAACGTTTCTTGTACCTTTCCTATTAATTCATTTTGAGCCTCTTCATCCATTGACTCAGAAGAAGAGTCGCTTTCTTCTAAATCACTTAATAGTTCATCTTTTTGTGATTCCTCTTCTGCCTTCTTTCTAGCTTCTTCTGCTTTCTTTCTAGCTTCTTCTTCTGCTTTCTTTTTAGCTTCTTCTGCTTTCTTTCTAGCTTCCTCTTCTGCCTTCTTTCTAGCTTCTTCTTCTGCTTTCTTTTTAGCTTCCTCTTCTGCCTTCTTTCTAGCTTCTTCTTCTGCTTTCTTTTTAGCTTCCTCTTCTGCCTTCTTTCTAGCTTCCTCTTCTGCTTTCTTTTTAGCTTCCTCTTCTGCTTTCTTTTTAGCTTCCTCTTCTCTTTGTTTTGCAATGAGCTGTTCTTTTTCATTATCATTATTAAATGTGCTGTTAATAACTTTTTCAACTTCTTCACTACTTTCATAACTTCCTATTTCTATTCCTACACTCATTGACCTAAGATCATTTTCTTCTTCTAGCTCTTGCAATTTCTTCTGTTCTTCTCTTTCTCTTTGTTTTTCTTGTTTGAGAATTTTCATTCGTTCAATTTTTTCCTCTCTCTTCTTTTGTCTCCTCTCTCGTCTAAATTGTTCGTTCCTTTTGTTTCGTAACGTTACTACAACAATAATGACAATGACAACAATAACTATAACAACAACTACAACAACAACTCCTACTACAATACCAATAATTATTCCAGTATTAAGCTTATCATCTTGAGATGGGTCAATAACTAAATCACCGTTGGGACATTGTGTAGGAAGAGTACGTCCAAATGCTATATACTTATTACATACAAAATATGCATGATAAGTCTCTCCTACTTCACTCTTCTTTCTATGATTAATTATGTTAATATTTTCTAAGTTATTTGCCTTTCCACAAGTAAAAGGAAATATAGTTTCATCCAACCCATCTACATAAATGTCTGTCTTTGAGTCAAATGACATAATACTTACTTCTGATAAAATTGTCTCATTTTTATTTGGAATATTAAGACTACCACCATTAAATGAAATTTTAGCTCTTTTTTCTATTAAAATACTTCCATGTGTTAGATCAATCAACCCATTTGGTTCAAGGTCAACTGTTCCATTTACAATGAGTTCGCCACTTATAGTTGTTGGGTATGTTATAAGCCAATTTTCTGATGTAACTGTTCCAGTTATTTTAACTTTAGTTCCAACTAATGATTTGATAATAAGGTTTTTAGATATAATCTCTACTTCTTTTGTATTTAATGTTCCAATTGACCCTGTCATTTCAATACTTCCACTCTCCATCGAGAGTTGTGAAATAATAACATCCTTACCAGTGATTTTTTTAATTGAAGGCGTTAATGTAATAGACTCAACATATCCTTCAATATCATTTAATTCTGTTATATTTTCATCATTAAAGTTTAATAAACATTCATTTGATTTACAAGGACAAAATGGTGATGAATAATTAGCAGTGTAATAATTGATTTTACCTTCTCCAGTTATTGTACATGTTAATTGTATTGGTGGTTGTTTATTGTCAGGACAAGCAAATAAATGGGTATTTGCATATCTTAAATAAATAGAATCCATTGAATCAATAATAAAAGCATCTTTTACATTTGACTGTGCAATTAATTTACAATCAGTAAGACTATCAACCATTACAACACATTCTTTTGTAGTTAATTTACCTGATGTTATATGATAATAATTATTTGTAAGTATTTGGTTACTTAAAATTAAACTATTATAAATTTCAACATCGTTATCAATAGACACATGAGTTAATAAACCATCTATAATATTAATTGGTTCTTTACTTTTTATAGAAGTGTCTGACATTTCAATGTATTTAATTGTTACATTGTTTAATGTTAATTCAAGAGATGATCCAGTTTGATATACGGTTAATAATTGTACATTATTAACTGTGAGTATTGCATCTCCCCAAATTGAAACAGAATAACCTTTACTTATTGTTAAATCTTTTGAAACTATTAATTGAGTGATATTTAATTGGTTACCTCCAAAGATGAAATTAGGAGGATAATTAATAATATTTGTAATTAACCCATTATCATAATTATATGTTGTTTGATCATATTCACTAAAATCAAGTGTACAGCTTATTTCAAAAATACCATTTATAAGAGAAGTACATGGTTTTTCTGGAATTTTTACAGTATTACCTTTACATACATACCATTGAATTCCTTTTTTACATATCCATGATTCAGCATTATTACATGATGTTTTACCATTAAAAATATCAAAAAGTTCCATTTCTTGTTTAGAACTAACAGATGTTGTAGTAAGGTCGTATAATTTTTGACATGTCTCTAAGTTATCAACTAGTTCTAAAGAGTCAAAATGAAGTTCATTAACAGAAGTTATTATTGATGTTGTTAATTTTAATTTTGCATGTAATGTTTTTGGAAGTTTATTAAAAATAACAGTTCCTTCATTATATAAAGCAATATCCAAAAGTACATTGCTAATTAATTTATATCCTTCTTTAATGAAATATGAACAATTAGTAGATTCCTGTAATGTAATTTCTCCTTCAATTATAACCATTCCAGAAGTGCATTGAATTGTTTCAACTACATGTTTTCCTTTTAATGTTAAATTACCATTTGACATAATTTTTAAAGAAGGTAATGCAATAGATGGATTATCATCTACACTTGTAATAACTGAATTCATTTGTGTAGTTATTACTAAAGATGAAGTGAATAAAGATTTTGGTGTAGTCAATGAAAGGGTACTATCAGAATTTAAATAAATGCCTTTATTAATATAATAAAAATCGTATTTTATTTGACCATTAATAATAAATGAACAAAATGAACATGAAGTCGATGAACATGGAGTATTTGTATTATAAGAATATGAAGTTAAAAGTTCATTTTTATTTGAATTGATAGTACATTGAATTAAAGGACATAAATTTTCATTAAATGTTTGAGTAGATAAAATTAAAATAGAATCTAAACAAGCCCATTTATAAGTAGATGGAAAAGAATTAATTGACTTGGAAATTTGAGAGGAAAAAATAATAGATTTATCTATTTCATTATCTCTTTTTATAACAGCAGATTTTAATGTTTCATCATCCATTTTAGAAATAGTTAATTCTGAAGACCTTAACAATGAATTTTTATTTTTATACCATTGAGTATTAATTGAACCTCTAGTTATATTAACTAATCCAGATGAAATAAGATAATTTGTATCAATTGAATTAATGTCGGTATTTACAACAGTAAGTTTTTTAATCTGACTTATGTTATAACTATTAAAATATGAATTATCAATTACAATTTCTCCAATATTGGAAATATATTTAATATTTATATCTTTTGTTTTATCTGGTGTATCAAAACTTAATCCAAGATTTTCATTTCCTAAAATCATTGAATAATTATAATAACTCTTTGCAATAATAATATTTCCTCCCAATTGTTCTAAACTAACTCTCATACCATTATAAGGACAATTTTGAAATATACCTTGTTCATAATTATACTTATTTGTTATATCAATTGGTGAAATTAATCCTTTTTTTAAACAACAAAGAGGTAATGACCTTTGACAATCTCCTGTATATTTATCATTAATTGAAACAAATACAACACTATTATTGCATGCAAAATGAGCAGAACCATCAGTTGATTGAGTAAATTCGAAATTAGAAGTATAACCATCGAATAAAGTATATTGAGATGAATAACTTTTATAATAAAAAGCATTTCCAAAAATAAAATTTGCCTTTCTTCTTAATATAATTCCTCTATCATTTTGATCAAAAACACCGACTTGTGAAACTGTTGTTTTGGTATAAGAACTGTCTTGTCCTACAAATACTTTTTTATGATAAATAAGTTGTCCAATACTAACATTTCCTGTTGTAGAAATAATACCATTTTCTTTAAACTCAATACTTTCAAATATTCCTTGACTAATTTCAGCTTCTTTAAAAAATATTAATGAATTATCATTTGATGTTTTTTGTAATTCAAATGAACCATTAAAATAATAAGTCCCATGACCAATAGAAATAGGATATTTAACAGTATTTGAATTAATAAGATTAGCTGTACTTTTAATTGAACCTTCAATGATTGAAAAAACAAGACTATCAACTACTACATTAACATGAATATTCCCAAGAATAATTTTATTAATCCTTGTATATCCATCTTTAGCTGGGTCAAAATATTTAGTATAATCATTAACAGTTAATTGAGTAAAATCATAATTACAATATTTTAAATCTTCATCATTTGAACCACATGGACAATAGATAGTATTATCATTTAAATAACTATGAGTAGTCATTGAGTCACCAAGTCTCAAAACAGTACATTTAGCGTTAGGATTAAAATATTCTGTATATTTAGCACAATCGACAGAAAAACTTGCATAAATATGATTTCTACAAATTGGGTTTATAGCAACAATATCTATCTTAGAAATTATTTTTGTTGCTACAATTACTACATTTTCAAATGTTGGAAATGTTATTTGATTTATTTTAATTTCAGAATTTGATGAAATATTAGAAATAAATAATATTTGTGAACTTATTGTTTGTACTGTAAGTAATGTATTTACCTTTAATGTTTTTCTAAGTCCAATAGATTTAGTACTTGCAAAATGTAAAGTATTACATTCCATAATTATATTTAATACATCTACCTCATTTAATATTATGTCTCCAGAAAGTGTAGCACTTCCATCATTAATAATTAATGAATTATCTTTATTAGAATTACCAAGTATTAAATTTAAAGCAATAACATTAATATAGTATAATATACCACTTTTTATTGTAACACTATTAGTTCTTTCATTAACAACTAAACTACATCTTTCCATCATAACATTTCCAAGAGATAAAACCGATGAACCAATGATTGTTAACGAACCTTTTTTTTCAACAATAAAGTGATTAGTTGTTAATGACTTTGCATTCATATCAATTTTTTCTACATTCCCGGTAATTGTTGTAGAATTGACATTAATATCAATTCCAAATACTAATGTCTTTTGGTCTGTATTAATAACTAAGTTTGTACTTGAAGTAAGACAATTTTGTGGAACAAAACTATTTTCATTAATAGTCCCTTGATAGTCTTTAATAGTACATTGACCATGAACTAATGAGATGATAAATATTGAAATAAGAAATGATTGAATCATCCTTTTATTTTTTTAAGTTTTCTTTTAAAACTTAAAGAAATATTAATTAAATTATAATTTTATTTATTAAAAAAAATAAATAAATAATTAGAATGAAGAGAATGTCTTATTTCTACTAATAACTTTTTTATTCAACTGGTGGAAGATTGTCAGGATATCCCCCTGATTGTAATAATGTTCTAACTAATGCTTTTGCAAGAATATATTGGTGTGCATTTAATGCTCCTTCTTTTCCTGAATCTGCAATTGACCAAATCTTTTGAAGATCTTTTTTATCTGCTCCACTAGCCATTAATGGTGCAAAACAATCTTTACCAAGTACTTTACCAACTTCATTCTTTGGTAATTTATCAAACTCTTTTTGGTATGAGTTCATTTCATCTTCACTAACATCAAGAGTAATACAACATTTTTCAAAGTTACTTGAAACTTCAAATGGATTGGTATGAGTTGATAAGTCATCTTCCATTGGGAATTTTTTCAATAACAATGGAATTTGAGTTCCAAGAGCATCATCAACTGCATTAATTACTCTCATATCCAATTTAGGGAATTTAGAAAAATCACAATTTTGTAAACGATCTTTATATACGTCAATTGGTGGGAAATCACCAGCAGCTAAGTTATATCGTTTCATAACAGTATTGAAAACAGTGTTCAAGTCTTTTAATAATTCTGCTTTCTTCTTATCTTTACCAAATGTTGGCATTTGTTCACGAAGATATGATGTAATATATGCGTTTGTTTTAGCCAATCTAGCACGTTTACATAATTCATTAACTTTACGAACAGTAGCTTGTTTTGGTAATGCATGAAGATCATACATTAAATCATCACGTTCTTTTTCAAATAATCCAGTAAATAATGACTCTTTAAATGGTTGGTCCCAGAATGAAGAGACATAAACCCTTAGACATTCTGGTGTTTGCATAACTTTACCAAGTGACCACATAAGAGCTCCATATACTCTCATTAATTGTTGTGAATCAATAGAATCTGCTTTATTTAATACAAGTCTCATCTTTTCAGAATGTTTCTTAACAGCTTCAATAACTCCTTTAAATTCATCAGAAATATCTAATTTATGTGCATCAAATACAAGTACAATCATATCAGCTCTTTCAGCAAACCATCTTACAACTTCATTAAAATCATATGATCTACCAATTCTTTGTTTTTCTCCAGACAAAACACCAGGAGAATCAATAAAAGTTAAATGTTCAAGAAGTGGAAGATTACAGAATGACCCATTAAATTTAGCCATAAAATCATTACCAAACTTAGATAATGAAGTAAATGGTTTATCTGATTGAACACATAATGTATTACCTGGAATATTAGTAGAATTAGGTCCATGCATAATAGCTGCAAATCCATCAGTAGTTGGTTCAGGACCAATATGAGAACCAGGATAATCATAATTTAATAAATAATTAATAAAAGTAGTTTTACCAGTAGAATATTGACCAAGGAATAAAACCATTGGCTTTGCATCAAAATCAGCTTGTCTCATAAGAGGTGAAATTAAATAATCATATTTATACTCAGCTTCTAATTTTTTAATTTTTTCATCATAAATCTTCTTGATACCATCAATAACTGAAACATAAGTAGGATCTACTGGTTGTTTTTGATTTTTCTTACCAAACATATTTTCTAAAGATAACGTAAATTTTTAGTTTAAAGTTCATTAACTTCTATTGCTATAGATTTTTCTTTCAAATTAATAAATATAATACAATTTACTATACTAGTTGTTAAATAATTTTTTCAACGAATCATTTATGACTCTTCTATTCTAATTGCTTTTTTTTATGAAGCTTTTTTTTTTAATAATGTTATTCAATAACAAAATAAAAAACATCATTAAGAACTATTTTAAGAGATTATTACAGGAAATTAAAAAAAAAAAACAAAAGGGTTGCTCATCTGTTCGTGGCAGTAACGTGGAACCAATACTAAGAAGAGTGGCAAAAAGAGTATTGTTTTAAGAAAGGAAAATGATAAAACAAACCGAAAATAATACAAAATATACAAATGATGGGAACTTTTCTTTTTTGGAAACTACTTTGTCAACCCTTTAAAACCCTCAAGCCACGTTATAAGATGACGTGTTGCTGAATAGTGAAATACAATCAACACCAAATATAAACCGAATCAAGTACTGATTAAATCATTAAATGAGTAAATACACAGGACCAGCCGTTGGTATTGATTTAGGTACTACATATTCATGTGTAGGTATCTGGCAAAACGATAGAGTTGAAATTATTGCTAATGATCAAGGAAATAGAACAACACCATCATATGTTGCATTTACTGATACAGAAAGACTTATTGGAGATGCAGCAAAGAACCAAATTGCAATGAATGTTAAAAACACTGTATTTGATGCAAAGAGATTAATTGGAAGAAGATTTAGTGATCCAGCAATTCAAAATGATATGAAACATTGGTCATTCAAAGTTATTGATGATGGACATGATAAACCATTAATTGAAGTAGAATACAAAGGAGAAGTTAAGAAATTCACCCCAGAAGAAATTTCATCAATGGTATTAACTAAAATGAAAGAAACAGCAGAATCATTTGTTGGAAAAGAAGTAAAGAATGCAGTTATTACATGTCCAGCATATTTCAATGATTCTCAAAGACAAGCTACTAAAGATGCAGGAACAATTGCAGGAATGAATGTGATGAGAATTATTAATGAACCAACTGCAGCAGCTATTGCATATGGACTTGATAAAAAGAGTGACAGAGAAAAGAACGTTCTTATTTTCGATCTTGGAGGAGGAACATTTGATGTATCATTACTTGCAATTGATGATGGAGTATTTGAAGTTAAAGCAACTAATGGAGATACCCATCTTGGAGGAGAAGATTTTGATAATAGACTTGTCAATCATTTTATTGCTGAATTCAAGAGAAAATATAAGAAAGATATTAGTGGGAATGCAAGAGCTGTTAGAAGATTAAGAACAGCATGTGAAAGAGCAAAAAGAACATTATCAAGTGCTGCAACAGCAAACATTGAAGTTGATCAATTATTTGATGGAATTGACTTTTATACATCTATTACACGAGCTAGATTTGAAGAATTAAATATTGATTTATTTAAATCAACTATTGGACCAGTTGAAAGAGTTTTACAAGATGCTAAATTAGACAAAGGATCAATTGATGATGTTGTCTTAATTGGAGGAAGTACAAGAATTCCAAAAGTTGTTCAATTATTACAAGATTTCTTCAATGGAAAAGAACCAAACAAAAGTATTAATCCAGATGAAGCAGTTGCATATGGAGCAGCAGTACAAGCAGCTATCTTAACAGGAACCGGAGGAAAAGCAACAGAAGATGTGTTATTACTTGATGTTGCACCACTTACACTTGGAATAGAAACAGCAGGAGGAGTTATGACAGCATTAATTCCTAGAAATTCAACAATTCCAGCAAAGAAATCACAAGTATTCTCTACATATGCAGACAATCAACCAGGAGTATTAATTCAAGTATTTGAAGGAGAAGCATCAATGACAAACCATTGTAATTTACTTGGAAAATTCGAATTAACAGGAATACCACCAGCACCACGAGGAGTACCACAAATTGAAGTTACATTTGATATTGATGCAAATGGTATTTTGAATGTTTCAGCAGAAGATAAAACAACTGGAAAGAAGAATAAGATTACTATTACTAATGACAAAGGAAGATTAAGTAAAGAACAAATTGATAAGATGGTAGCAGAAGCTGAAAAGTTCAAGGCAGAAGATGATAAGATGAAACAAAGAGTCGAAGCAAAGAATAAGTTAGAGAACTTCTGTTATTCAGTCAAGAATACTCTTAGTGAACAATTTGCTGATAAGATTGCTGCAGAAGATAAGACTACTATTGAGAATATTGTTAAAGAAACTCTTGATTGGATTGATAACAATCAAAATGCTTCCACTGAAGAATATGATAACAAGATGAAGGAAGTTGAAGGAAAAGTCCAACCAATTTTCACTAAGCTCTATCAACAAGCCGGAGCTGCTGGTGGAATGCCAGGAGGAATGCCAAATGGATTCCCAGGTGCTGGAGCTGCTCCACAAGGTAACGCTCAACCAAAGTCAAGCGGAAAAGGACCAACTATTGAAGAAGTTGATTAAATGAGTTAAATGGTTTTATCTATTTTTGTTTTATTTTTTTTTTTTTTTTTGAATTTATTATTTAAAAAAAATAAGAAATAAAGAATGTTCAAAAAGTAAATTATTTTAAAGAATCAAAAGCAGCATTGGTTAATTTTCTTATTTTGCTGTCAGGGTGTTTGATAAGTTGGTCCAAAGTATTTGTAATTTCTGAACAAGTTTTGATTCCACGAGAGCTGCCAACAAAGAGTTGAAGTCCTATTTTAGTGAAATAAGTATTAGTTTGAGTTAGTAAACAGAGAATGACTTGGTTTATTTTTGTATTCCAATCATTTTGTAGGAACAAGAAATTTTCTTTAGTAAGTAATTTTTCCATTGAGTAGTGCCAATTTATCTTTCTTTGTTCTTCTGTTTGATCGAAGGTATCAACTTGTGATTGCATAAAGCTCATTAAATCACCAATAAATATTCCCCAAAATCTAGCTTCTCTTAAAGATACGATAGAGGCTATGCCAAAGAAATTATCAATACATTTATCAATTAATAAAAATCCATTGACATACATCACATTCTTTTCAATCATCATTTCAATAATTTTAGCTGTAATCAATGCCTCACTCCCACTAATGTTTACTCTTTTGAAAATACATTCTTTGAAAAACCAATCTACTCTCATTCTCATTGCCTCTATGCAATGTTGTACATTAAATTCTTTTCTTTTAGTGATTTGTGTTCTAATAGCACTAAAATGTTCTAGGTTTACTCTCTCTCTTTTTTCAAGTTTACTTATTGCAATTGAAAATTGTTTTTTTAATTCTTCTTCTTTCATTCCTTTCCTTTGATCACATTCATGTTGTAATTTTCTTATAGCCTCAAGTTCTGTTGGTTCTACTCCTAATATATCATTATCAATACTAAAGAAATGTTCCCAAACAACTATTCTTTCATTATTTTCATATTCATCAACTCCTTGTTGTTTTTCCATGATTGGTTTAATACCTTTCTTCATACCTTTCTTTTCAAGTCTTCTTATAATTTCCCACATAACTTCTGGTTTCATCTTTCTACAATACTTCTTGATGTCATCAAAGATTATTTGTTCATTCTTTTCGCTTAATAAGTCTAATCCCTTAATTAACTTTCTTTCCATTTTACTCCAACAATCATACCACTCATCTTTTTCATATTTCATTCGTTCAATCTCCATCACACCAATCAATTCAATAAGAATATTTTCTTGTACAAAATTGTTAACCCATTTAGATCTTTCACATAAGCGTATAATTTCACTTAACATATGATAAACCCATTCTCCAAACCCATTCTGTTCAAATATAATTTTAATCCATTTAAATGTATCTTCTTCAAATTCACATATTCCTCCAAGATAAGAAAATAAAACCATTTCAACGCTTCTTCCTTTTTCAATTTCATTTCCACATCTTTCTGAAAATGTTTTTGCAATTTCACTATCATTAGTATCAAATCGTTTTTTTCGTTCTAAATTTTCAATGATTTCATTATTTAATTCATGAAGTCGTTTACAAACAATTGAGTTCATTAAACTAATTTCCCATTTGTCTATCTTTGAAACAACTTTTACTATAGTAGTAATAAAATTAGGATATGCTATAATAGTTTCTAAAAAATAATTTATAATCTCTTTTGGTCCACAGTGTAGTACTTGTTCCATTTCTTGTTGTTGTTCTTCTGAAGCTTCCGTACCTATCTTCTTAAAAATACGTCTTATCATTAATTCTGTGTTTTCAATTGGAGTTTCTGGTAAATGTTCAAATAATTCTATCCTATTTTTTATTGATAATTTACAAACCATATTATCAAATAAATGTGTTTGAATTGGAGTATTACTTCTTCTATTAAGCTCACCAAATTGGCAATAAGCAGTATACAATTTAAAGAAAATTTCTATAAATCTAGACTCATTAAGACTATTAAAAAATTCTGTTGAACAATGAACATATGGTAATTTATCAATAAAAGACATACATTGTCTTGGTTTGTCTTTAAGTAATAAACAAGTTTGTTCTTTTGAAAGTGATTTATTTTCAAGTAATTCAGAGATGAAAGTAGTCTTATCAAATGATCGTAAAATAATTGGAACAACGGCCTCTGAAGGATAATAAGAGATAATTTCATTATCATAATCATAAAGTTTTATTAACATATTGATGTTTTTATTAAGTTCATCATTGGTAAATAATAATGGTAATAATACAACTGAAAGATGAAGGGATTGTAATAACTCATTACTCTTTTCAGAAGAAAGAGTTGTACATTCATTTAAATAAAGTAATACAACCCTCATCATATCCAAATAATTTTTATTAGACATAACTATGCATTAATAAATATTATTAAAATTCTTATATAACTATGAAGCTGAATTACAAACATGTAATTTTATGAATTGGAATGGAAATTGTTTGATCAATCTTACCTATCTTTGAGTCATTAATAGAATTATACTCTTCCATTTTTTTTGTAATTTCTTTTTCAAAAGGACCAAATCCATTAATTTCACACTCCTCCATTCCTTCTAATCGGGGTTTTTTAGTTTTTTCCTTTACTTTTTTGGTTTTTTTATTAATTTTTTTAGTAAAAAGAAAATGAACTTGTAATAATTAATGGGAAAAGTTTTTGGTGTATTACTCGAAAATGTGCCAACATGTAATGGTATTCCGTATCCTGTCTATGAACTTATTAGTTATCTAACTGAAAAACAATCCCGAATAGAAGCTGAAGGAATATTTAGAATATCTGGGAAATTAAATGACATTAATATTATTAAAGCAAAATATGATAATGGAGAAACAGTTGATTTGTCTAAATATGATATCCACACAGTGGCAGCTGTTTTAAAGGCATTTTTTAGAGAATTACCAGACTCATTAGTTACTCATGAAAATGTTTGTTTTAAATATTTTGTTTTTTATTAGTTAGACCCATTCTTTAGACTGATATGATAATTGCTACAGTTCAAATGGATGATAAATTCTATCCAACAAAAATTAAAAATATTCAAAATATATTATCATTTCTTCCAGAGTTTGTATTTCATATTACATTATTAATACTTATATTAATCTTCATTTTAGTATTTATTATGAAACTTTAAAATTATTAATTCATTATCTCAGATTAATTGCTGATGCATCAGCAATTAATAAAATGAATGTATCAAATATTTCTGTCAGTTTGTTTTTAATACTTCTTGATTTAAATATTAATAACTCTCTAACTTTTCAGTTTTTGGTGTAAATATATTTACTGGTATTGATGTTGTTAATTTACTTTCTTCAAATAATAGTGCATGTTTTGCTTGTACTAGGTTTTTAATTGAAAATTATAAAGAGGTATTTGATATTGTTCATGATAATTCCTTTAAAACAATGCAACTCCCTCAAACTCATGAGCCTGAAAAAAAATTCCTTTCTATTCCAAGAAAATCCTCTATTCCTCAATCACAACCTAAACAATCTCAATCTCAATCACAACCTCAACCTACATCTAATACTGTTTCAGTTCAAGTTCCAAAACATGCCCCTCCACCAGTCCCTAAACAACGAATATTATTTGGACAACCAGTTCAACAAAAGTCAGCATCTACCCAACCCATCTTTATATCTCCAAGTCACTCACCAAATGCAACTCAAACTTTACGACCTTTACCTGCAAAACCACTACTTCCTGCAAAACCTATTCGAAGTGATAATGTTAATACTCCAGCACCTCAACCCATACATCGACCTCTCCCCCAAACTCCTTCACGAAATCCTTCTCAACAACATCAACCAATTTTAACTAAATCAGAGCCTTCAATTGGAAGGTCTTTGCCTCCTATCCCTCAAAAAAGATCAGGAATAAATATACAACATACTCCTTATCCACAAATATTGTAGTAATAACTTTCTTTAATGTTTTATTTTTATTTTTAATACAACAAATATAAAAACAAATTAATTAGACAAGTGCAAATTCTGCTGATTTAATAATAATTGGAAGAAGTATACTTCCTACAACAACAAGAAAGATTACAATTATAAGACAAATACAAATTACAATTGACCACTTTTTCTACGAAATTAATTATATCTTTATTAATTATACAATAGGAACAAAAAAAAAACAAACAAAACGATTTGGCTTTCTGAGTCTTTTTGCTTTATTAATATTGATTAATGCTTCTGTAGTATACTCCTTTGCTTGTTCACAATTATCACAAATATTATTAATCATTTCACCTTGCATTTCAACTAATATTGCAGCATCAACAAATGTTTGAGCTAATTCATCAATACTTCTTATAATAGTTATGATTTCATCATGTTTTGATTTAACATAAGCCAAACTATTAATGGACTGTATTTTATTAATACGTTTTGAAGACTCTTTCTTTAGTTTCATTTGGTGATGAAATCTTTTTTCTTCTTTAATATTTAATGTTTGAAGTTCTGGAGGAAGATTGTTTGTACCAACTAAAAAAATTAGTTTTATTAAAATTATAATTATATAAAAATGTTATAACATGCAAACTAAGTTTTACTTGTTTCTGGTAATTCTTTATTAATCCTTCTTTAATTTTTTCTTGAAGTATTCTAGATTTTTTCATTATTACGACAAATTTCATGGAAAGGAAAGATATATGATTTTCTCTAATTCGTAACTCACTCTCTCCTACCTGATGAATTGGGTTTGATTCAATATCTTTTTTAATACTATCATTTTCTTGTTTACATTGTTTTAATTCTTTCTCTATTCTTAATGCATCTGAACATATTTTTTGTATTAATCGTTTTAGTTCTTCACAGTCTTCTTTTATAATGAACTTATTGCATTACAAATAAAATAAAATAAAAACAAACTACTAACATCCGACACTTTCATTTGTTTTGTTATTCGTTCGTACTTAATTTTCATTAATTCATTATTATCTTCAATGCACATAAGTTGATGTTTAATTTCTTCAACTTTAGAAAGAAATTTCATAAGTCCAAATGGAAGTTGTTCAGTCTCATCTTCAATAATAATTCCTGTTAATTCATTCTTTTGGCTGACTATATCATTTGTGTCAGTACTATTATTCATATGTAATATTTTTTTGTTTTTCTGTTCTTATTTTTATCTGTTTCATTTAAAGAAAGTCTGCTTATCAAAACCAAAAAAAAGTCACTAACTTAAATTTAAAGTATTTAAATGTAATATTTTTTGAAGGTAAAATTTAATTTAAATTCTTTTCTCTTCTTAAATATATATTTATATCCTGAAAGAGTAATGATAATTTATTTCTCTTAAATAACTTAAATTAACTATATAATTTAAATATCCGAAAATATTTCGATTGACTTCTAATTTTCAATTCCATTAGGAAATAACACCCAACATTCAAAATATTGAATTTAACCGTTAAATGAAAATAACCCCAAATATCAGTTAATTATAAAGTTATGATTTGAGTTAATCAATAAAACTACATTTCAGATACTTAAAATGGTTTTATATGAAAAAAAAATAATAATACTTTTGTGTTGTTTTAGGTTATGAAATAAACATTTTCTATATCTAGGCAATATACTGTTCTGATTATTCTTATTAAATAAACAATGTCATGGGACAATTTTTTTTGAAACAAAAAAAAAGAAACTAAACTTAAAAAGAAATTTAGACTCGTTGTTGACAATGAATAACGCAATGAGTAGGGCTTTATCGCGGTCTAAAAAAGCTCTTTCAGATGCACTTCTTGTTTATTTTATATTGAAAGAAGGTGGGCAAATGACATTTTTCCGTTCAAAACAAAGTAATTATGCGTTAAAAGTATTAGTAGGAAGAAGTCTTACTATTTCAAACCAACATTATGAGTCTGATTCTTTCACTAAAATGTCAACGTTATTATGTTTTAACATTCAGTCCCATGTGAATAAAGCAAAAAGAAAGAAAGAAAGAAGTATTAAAATAGATAAGTCAATGGTTAGTATTTATAATGAAAAAGAATTACATTTAAAAGCAATGGAACAAAGTGTTAAGTCATCGCAAATTAATGAATGTCGTAATAGAGAAGCATCTTTTTCAAATGCGTTAGCATGGTTGTTAATTGATCGAGGATATTCTCTTCAACTCGGAATAACTACAATTAAAGAATCTTTAAAAGTTATTCATTTTTACGTTTGGGATTCAATTATTACTCCTGGTGGACATGAAATATCTATTAAAGAAGAAGAAAATAATCTTCGAGAATTAATACTTAAAGTACAAAGTAAATATAGTGGACTTTCTTCTAATATTGTAACTCTTGCAAATTTACAAATTTCTCTTAGCGCCTTTCGCTCTCCTCTTTCTATGTTTATTCCATCAAACCCAAGAATATTTTCTATTTTCACTTCATTCAGATATCCTTGTCAACCTTTTGATTCTTAGCAGTGTTTTTCATCAGTTTAGAAAAAAATTTTCTATTATTATGGTGGAATTGTGTATAGTATTACTAATTTAATTCCTTTTTTTATTATAAATTTTTTTGCGAAAAACGGAGAAAATTATTTTGGATTTCAAATATTAAATATAAAAATAGAATATTTGTTAACTAGATATTAATTTTATAGATCTTTAGTTTCAATGGAACATCGTTATTGTGTGATTATGGCAGGAGGGGTTGGTGCTCGTTTTTGGCCTCTTTCAAGAGAAAGTAAACCAAAACAATTCTTGGATATCATGCATGTTGGAAGAACATTTATTCAAATGACATTTGATAGATTGTCTTCTATTATTCCTGTAAAAAATTTCATTGTTGTTACATCAATTCAATACCGAGGATTAGTTCAAGAGCAATTACCAGAAATTCCAGTAGAAAATATTCTTTGTGAACCATATAGAAGAAATACTGCTCCATGTGTTGCTTATGCAAGTCATTGGATATGTTCACGTGATCCAGAAGGAGTTATGATAGTTGCACCAAGTGATCATTTAATAACAGATGTAAAAAAATTTATAAAAGTTGTACATGAAGCTTTTTCTTTTATTGAAACACATCCAAATAAATTAATGACTTTAGGTATGACACCAACAAGACCTGAAACAGGATATGGTTATATTAATTATAATAATAACCAATTTATTGAAGGAAATATTAGTGAAGTATATAAATTTGTTGAAAAACCATCTATGGACAAAGCACTTGAATATCTTGCTTCAGGTAATTATGCTTGGAATGCAGGTATTTTCTTATGGACTGCAAAAACAATAATTAATCAACTTAAACAATTCGCTCCAACAGTTGAACAATATTTTGCAGATATTAAAGATAAATTTAATACTCCTGATGAAGTTTCTTCAGCTAATAATGCATATGAAAAATGTTCTAGTATCTCTATTGATTATGCTGTAATGGAAAAAAGTAATGATGTAACAGTAATTTGTTCTGAATTTGGATGGTCTGATGTTGGTACTTGGGGATCATTACATACTTTACAACAAAAAGATGATCAACAAAATGTTTCTGATGGAAGTGAATTATATAATTGTCATAATTGTATTGTTCATAAAAGTTCAAATAAATATGTTGTTGTAGAAGGGTTAAATGATTATATTATTGCAGACACTGAAGATGCATTGTTAATTTGTTCTCTTAAAAATGAACAAAAAATTCGAGATTTTGTTTCTGATGCAAAGAAAAAAAATGCAGGAGTAGTTTAATAAAAATTTACTCTTAAAACCTTCTTATGAAAATTTTGTTTTTATTATTTTTTGTTTTCATTAAAAAAAAAAATTAAAAGTAACAAATAAAAGATTGTCATTCATGTCAAATGTACCTACATCATCAAATAACTTAGTACCTTCGACTAGAAAATCACATAGAAAAATGATTACTGTAAATACTAGAAAAACAACTTATATGGATATTGATGGTAATTGGACTGGAGAAAATGTATTTGAAAAAATATCTCTTATAGGTGCAGGAGGATTTGGAGAAGTTTGGAAGGTTAGACATAAATTAATGAGATTTATTTCTGCTGCAAAAATTATTAAATTAAATAAATCATCAAGTGAATCAATTCAAAAAGAAATTATTACATTTAAACAAATGAAACATCCTAATATATTAAGTTATTTAGGAACATATACAGAAAAAGATAATGTTTGGATTATTATGGAACTTTGTAATGCTGGTAGTTTAAAGGATATTATTAAAACATTAAATACACCTTTACCTGAACAAGCAATTGCATGTATTATTAAAGGAGTTGTTAATGGACTAGAAGCATTACACAATGCAAATATTATTCATTTAGATATTAAACCTGCAAATATATTAATTAGTGATGATTGTGAAGTAAAACTTACAGACTTTGGTATTAGTAAACATGTAAATGATTTATGTGAAGATAAGTGGTATGGTTCAGCACCATATATGGCACCAGAAGTTGTTTTTAAGAAACCATTTACTACAAAAAGTGATATTTGGTCATTAGGAATTACCATATTAGAATTAAGAGAAAGAAAACCACCATATGAAGATTTAACTACAATGAGAATACTTGAATTAATTAAAAAACATCCACCACCTACTTTTAAAAATAAAGAAGAAAATAGTGAAGAAATAATGAATTTTGTTGCGTTATGTCTTATTAAAAATAGTAGACAAAGAGCAACAATAACTCAACTTAAAAGACATAAATTTTTAACACAAGTTGAAGACAATCAACCAGTATTAAATCTTTGTGTTTCAGTTTATCAAGCCAAATATCATTTATTACCTCAAATTGAAATATTACCTGAAAATAAATTTGCTATTAAATATTTAGATAAAGATGATATAAGTAAAACACAAGTACGTTCATTTTATTCTACAACAATAAAACAACAAAATCAAACAGATGTTATTGGAACATATCCTGATAATACTTTAGCTGGATCAACAGAATGTTTACCTGAAAATACAGAATTAATTAATGAACAATTTAAAGCAATTGAAAAATTAAAAAATGATATTCAAATTCTTAATGAAAAAGTATTAAGTTTAGAAGAAAATACAACTTTAAATATCAAAGAAACTACTGAAAAAAAATTAAAAGAAATTGATAATTATAAAACATTAATTAATGGATGGACAAAAGAAATAGTTGAAAATATGGTTAATACAGCTATTGATGAAAGACTAAAAGAAATGTATGATACAACACTTGAAAGTACTGATGGAGATATTTCTCCATGTGGAGTATTTGTACCAATAAAAAGTATTGAATCAACAGAATCATCAAGAGAAGTATCAAGAGAAAACTCACCTCATTTAGAAGATTTCAATCCAAGAACACCAAATAGACCAAATAAAAAAGAATTAAAAAAGAATTTTAATTTAAGTGTTAAAATTCCTAAAGAAATTATAAGTCCAAGAAAGAAAACATTAAAAAAAGATGAAAATTCATTAAGTTTAAACTCTATTGATAAAGACTTTATTTCATTAAAAAGTAAAACAAAAAAAAGTGTCACTTTAAGTGGACTAACAAATAAATTTAATTCATTTGAAAGTAAATCATTAAAAAAAAGAAGTGTAAATAGTAGTAAAGAAATTGAGAGTAAACCTTTTCAAAAACAATTAGAAAAAAATGATACTTCTGATGAAAAAATAAAATTATTTAATAATGAAATTAATAAAACTTCACCTAAAATGTCTTGTTGTGATACTATTCCTCTTCACACATCTAGTATTAAAATTGAAAAAAAAACAGAAAGTCCTACAACAAATTCTTCTTCAAATAATTCTTTAAATACTCAATTTCAATTTAAAAAACAAACTGGATTGAATGTAAATATTACTACTTCTCCTCTTGATATTAATCATTCTAAACTTAATGAATTAGATCCTAATCTTTCTAATCATATTTTAATAACTCCAAAAACTCCTAATGTTACTTCAACTCCTTTAGTTAAACCAAACTCTAATATCCTTCCTTTACAACAAACTAAACAACTTCCTCAAAATTTATCAACTCAATTAAACTCAACTATATCACCTGATAAATTACATACAACAAATTCTCCACAATCAACTATTATTCAAAGAGGAATTTCATCTCCACACTCATCCCGTAAAGAAT